AAATGCATGCATGTGTGTGTGTGTGTGTGTGTGTGTGTGTGTGTGCCTGTGTGTGATAGTTTGTATATCTTGACATTGTATAGAAGGGTCTTTGTCTTCTTGCCAGTTGGAACTCAGAGAATCAGGCAGACAAAGTTTGCAGTATGTTTAGGCTTCCTGTTTCCTTCTTGGCCCCAAGCTCCTGCCACCTTATGAATTCACCAGGTACTTCTGAGGCCAAGGTTCCCCCTCCCATAGGATTTTGACACTCTCTGAATCTATGAACACCTTTTTCTCAAATGCTACAATACTCTGTATGGTTCTAGAGACCTGATTTCCTGGCTATAGGCTGATAGCCTGTCTCCTACCCCAGACTGCTATGACGGTGAGATTTTCCCTATGGAGATCCTGCCAGCAAGCCATTTCACTGGCGATAGAACTTGGGAGGCTGGTGATTCATGTTATGGAAAAGAAAGTGTGTGATGCCTGTCCTCATGATGAGCCAAACACCCTCTGAGTAGGACGATAGAAGACACACATTCACAGTCCATTTTCAGTCTTTCATGGACGACTGCACAGCTGGCAGTTCTATGGTTTCACTTCTTTCATTAAGAGTCTATTTCTGGCCTCACATATTCAGCATCCTCATTCAAGGTGCAGTGTGGTTACACAAGAGTGGTGTTCCTGAAAAAGGGCTTATGCATCCATTTTTCCTGTGACCCTGATAGCCCCCAAAAGATCTCTGTCCTCCAAAGCGTTTAGGAAACAAGCTTCTTCCCAGGCCTGCAGTTTCTGTGCCTTCCTCAAGTCAGCATGACCCCCTTGCTTCTCTCTTGTGGCTGTTTAAGCAGAGCAGCCTAGCACTTCCTGTCTGAATGAAAAGTGTGATTCTCCAGCTTCTAGGAGAAATCTACTGCCCTATGGAGGAGGAGGGCAGACCTGCCATTTTTCTATATTCTTTTCCCAGTATTTCGCTTAGGACATCTTGTACTTGTTTCCCTTCCCAACTCTCCTGTAGAAGAAAGTGATGGTAAGGACATGGTTTCAGCTATCTGCTGTCTCTGTTTCCTTGGGAGAAAATAGCTTTGCTTTCTTCCTAGGATTTTGGAACACAAGAAAGCTTCATCTCCATGCCTGACCCCTTCCTTCAGTAAATAAAGCCTTCTAAAATTCTCCTTCCACATTTTTTGTCTCCATGAGCATAGTATTTCTATTGAAGTTCAAATAGTTTAAAAAGATGGATGGATGATGAGCCCAAGTGAACATCCATTTCAAAGAGTTTTTACCTAATACTAAAGTCAGGACAAGTTTTTTACATTCATCCTTTTGCCTTTTCTCTACCTAGCAGAATCCCTAGGACAAGGTGTCCATTCATTAAGTTGATTGAATAGCCCTACATGAAATTATTTCCTAAAGTAAGGTATCTTTTCAACAGAAATTATAACTCTATTTCAAATGCAATTAAAATGTATGTTTCATGTTTGGGGATTTGCTTAAGCACAATAAGATGGAATGGCCTTAATCACTTAGAGAAAACTGTAACTTGGATCTTTTCACAGGTGTGTTGGCTTTGGATTTCTCTCCAGAGAAACGGTGCTTTTCTTGGCAAGCAACAGTGGATAAGGGGCACAGATCTGTCCTTGTGTCATAGATAACACTTGTAAGAGGCATATCCTGACCTCTAGGAAGAATGCCAGAATCCTCATTCTTCCTGGTTTTAAAAATTTATGATCTGATTTTTATTTTAATTTTATTTCCAGGGCCAATGCTCCTGGGTCAGTATGCTAATTCAAAAACCACTTGCATATATTTGCATATTGTGCACATTCTTGACTCCATAGAGGCAGGATTAAAATTAAAAAGACTTTCAATTATCTTGTATGGTTTTAAAATTCTACAGAAAGCTCCATCCTCTTCCATTGTTTCAAGGTCTTTGAAATTGCAAAAAGATAATGGGGTTTAATAAGTATCAGACTAATTTAGTCAATATAAATGAACAATGCACTTTTTTGACATGGATTATTTAATTTATAGGGACCAAATAATTTTCATTCTTTATCTACTGTCCACATACCAAATGGGTAGCTGAGTTAAGGCACCAGACATTTCTAAGGGAAAAAAATGTAAAATCTTATTTATTCCACTAGAATTAGCATTCTATTCAAGTATAAATATAACTAATTATAACAGTATTAGTAGTATCTAGGGTTTTTACATCAATAGGAATCACAGTTAAATTACTAGCATGATACTAGTCCAGATATCTTAAAATTGTGTTTATTCTAATTACTATTTTTTAATTATTAGACTTTTCACTACTTCTTATTTAATATGATAATCAAGTAGCACAAACATTACTGCATCACAAATACGTTGTTAGTATTTAGATGATTAAATATCACTAAAATTCAGATTTTTCTTTGCAACCCTGTTAATTTCACTTTATGCATTCAAAAATGGTAGCCTGAGGAAGGGTCCATTAGCTCATCAGTCTGCAGCAGGGTCCAAGTATAGGAAAATCTTAGAACGTGAACTTCACCTATGATTTATTGCACCCCAACTTTTTTTCTTATGCTTTTTTCTCTTGTCTTTCTTTTCTGTTTTTCATGGTTCATTTCAGCATAGCCAATGTCTGCTCACCTCTTTCTGATGAAGATGTCAATTATCTGCTGAACAGCTCCTGTCCCCAGTATGCCCTGTGACATTTGAAACTCATCAAACTATTCCTTATGAGAAAGAAACTCACTTAGCCATGCCTTGATCTTTTGAAAGAAGTCATTTTATTTGAGAATAAAGGTAGGCTTTAAAAAATATGTATTAGCTGAGGTCTAATTACCACCTAAGCTTCTTAAAAGGATTTACAGAGGCCCAAAGAGAAGGCTTGTGTAAATCCCAAATCTTTAGGGCGGGTTCTAAATATAGAACCACCTTTATTCTTCCATTAGGACAGAAGCCTGTATAAATAATGGTTGCCATCTACTGATGAAACAGAAATTGGAATCATTCTAATCTTACTGTATTTGCTGCTTACGGGGGCAAAGCTGGGGGCAAGGGCCCGTGAGACACACTGTGGTGTTTAGAAGGGCACTTGTCCTACTTAGGGTGGAAATGTAACAAACAGGGGGTTGGACATATTCGATTCATTCATGGAGGTTTAATGGGATTGGGTTCGTAGCTTCTCCAGTTTCAATTCAGTTTTATTACTGCCGCAGTGACAGTTCAAATTGTAGTCTAAATATGATTTGCTGAGGAGGAAAACATTGAATCACCTTTTTTGGGTGCCCACACTATTGTGAGCGATAGGGGGCTCTTCCCTTGCTGGGAGTGTGTGGGTGCTGTCACACTATTCAAGTCCGCCAGCTGTCAGATCGGAGCCCAGTTCTCCCGCAGTATTGTGTCATGTGAAACCCACTGTCTTAGCTGCTGAATCATCACAGTGCAGGAAGAGCCAAATCCATTGAAAAATCAGCCTCTGGGCTCTTGAATATTTACCCAGCATATTTTGAGAAGCAGACCAGAGCCAAGTACAAGTGTAGGCCTTCGGCACAGCCGTCAAGCACACAACATCTGCTGCTGAGAACTCCACCTCTGCTTTTCAAGGTCTCAAAACTTTTAGCTTCCCTTTTCCTCAAGCATTCTATTCCTGTCCACCCTAAGAGCTGACATACTTGCTCACAATGAGCTAACAGAAAATGTGCCCTTCACATGATATCTGCTGATAAGGAGTTATTTTAAGGATTGAATTCTTTTTTTTTTCTTTTTTTCTTTTTTTTTTAGGATTAAATTCTTAAAAGCGAGCTGCCAACAGTAAGTTAGAACCACTGGCTGACACCTAGGAATTGTTCTTGCAAGCCCCTTTCTCTCACTCCAATATCAAGTCACAAAGTGCTGTCTACATCATCCTCTAAGCTTCTGACAAAAGCACATCATCTTCATACCATTTCCTAGCATGCACAAGTTACCACTGCGTTCCCTCAAGCTCTGTGCTCTCCAAGATGGCAGCCACTAGCTATATGTGGCTGCTAAAAGTAAATAAATTATAATTAAATCCAATTTCAAATACATTTCTCAGTAGTATTAGCCAGATTTCAACAGCCATATGTGGTTATATTCTCCTACATTAAACAGATCAGATATGGAATGTTCCCTCCCTCATGGAATGTTTTGTTGTACAATGGAGGGCTGATATGACAATGGCCTCTTCATAGCTCACTGGGCAAAGACAGTCTCACAGCCTGTTTTCTGGATCTCTTTTCACTTTGCTGCCTAATTGTTCTTTTCAACATTAAGGTTAGATCCCGACCTGTAAAGGTGTCTGCATTATTGTAGGGTAACAGAATTCCAGCCCAATTCTAGTCCACTCTACCCTGGCTCTCTGCCTCCATCGGTTTGTCTGTGCTCACTTCTGTCTTGGATGTCTCTGAAGCTTGCACCTTACTTCTATTCTCTAAGTAGCTACAATATTTGCAAATGTTCCTCTGGGAAATACAATTTATATTTGTTAAATGAAAGCATCACCATGAAAACGTTGCCATACACTATGGCACCTAGGTAGAATCTCTTCAAAAACCATAGGGGGAAAAATCATTTCCCTAGGGCTGGTTTAGAACTAGAACATTTGTTAGACTGGAAAGAAAACATGGGAAGACCTTGAGCAGAAAGCCTGCCCTGTCTGTGATCCTGGTGCAATGCTCTGGTCTCTTGTGGCTTCACTTGCAGGAGAAATGTGGTGTAAGAGGCAGTATCATAAGGCACCTCCCAGAATGGCTACTTTCTGGTAGACAGGGCCTGCAAATCTCTTCAGATTACTGACTACAATGAGATGAAATTCCCATGATTAGGCTGCATTACATGGCAAGAGTGAAATATTGCAGATATGAAAAGGTTGCTAATCAACTGACTTTGAGTTAATCGAAAGGAAGATTATACATTGGGGAAAGAGTGGCTTAATCAGTTGAGTTTAACAGAGAATTGCTTGTGCCCAGAAAAAACGAGTAAATTCAGTTTTTCTGGTTTAAAAGATGCAACCTTTCATATGTGGAGCAGAGCGTCATATGGAGAGAAGAATACAGCTTCAAGGGGCCAAGAATTTCAGTTGCATAATCTAAATTTGTCCAAAAAACTGAACAAATTTGTGGAAGACCCAAAGCTCCAGATAAGAACCCCACCTGGTTCTAGGGATGGAACTCTCCTTGCAACTACTCCTCTAGGTAAGTGCTCTGTCACTGAGCTACACCCCAAGCAACATCTTGATTTCAGCCTTGTGAGACTCTGAACTGAGCATCTGTATAAATTATGTCTGAACTTTTGATCCACGGAAACTGGGAGGTAATAGATTGTGACATTTGAGATGCAGCATTTGTGAGAATCTTTTCTTTTCTTTTTTCTTTTTTTTTTTTTTTTTACAACAGGGAAATAATGCAGTGAGATTCTAAAGATTCTTAATATTTTTATACCAAAGACACCTTAGAAAAATCTAAGGAACCCCATGGGTTTCTGGACCAAATTGATTTTTAAATGCATAAAATAAAAACACATAAGTTTAGAAAGGAAACCCATTTGTTGAAATAGAGTAAAAATACTTTAGAAAAGCTATCTGAGTTAGAGTAGCCTTCTCATTTGTTAACACATCAAATAATAAAATTATAATAAGATAATAAGACTATTACATAACAGTTTAAGAACTACTGCAACAGTAAAGAAACAATTAGTGCAAACTATATTCTAGACAGGAATAGTGTGATAGTAATGCAGTATGGAGTTGCAATGATTTCTACAGGTATCAATGTCATAAACTTGCTAGGGCTTTTGTGGTAGGTTGTTTTCATTAATAATTGAAAGAAATGTCAAATTTCAGACACTATTGATGATGAAGACACTTTTGTCAGTTTGATTTTCCATGCCAATACATAGACCCCTGAAATCTATCCATGTTTCACATTCCTAGTTGAGGAAATTCTTGGGCATCTTCCAATGTCCATATCCTCAGTTGGCTTCACTCTTCTCAGAAATCCCCAGGGGGTTCTATCAAGCAGAGCTACTGACAGTGGACTCCTATTCACCCCCTTCACAGGGCCCACTGTCTTGTTTATCCCAAGTTCATTTTTATTTAATTAAATGAGTTATTGTATTTGCACATGTGAGTCATGTCTTTTTGATTATGCAGAATCAACCTGAGCAGAACACAGCTGCTCCAAGATAAACTGGGTGTATCTGTGGGGGATTTTAGATGCCTGTGTTGTACATCAGCACCTGGGAGACGCCACAGTTCTTACAGCAACAGGCAAAGTAAAGGGAACAGGCTTAGTCTTGCTCTAATGTACACCTGCTCATCCCTGGTCCGTGCTCCTCCCTCCTCCATTCCCCAGAGAAGGGTGGCAGTCTGCTTGTGAAGAGCCTTCCCTCCTCCCACTGCTTTCTGCACTGTCAGTTATGAATGGACTTTCTCCCTCTGGACGGTGCTATAACTCAGTGTAATGTATCTATCCCAAGCATTTCTTTACTTATCTTTATATTGTGTATTAAAAAATTATAAGCACGTGGCTTTAAAATTTAAAGAGTATTTTTTAAGAGCTTATGATACATTCCTTACCTCTTTGTCCAGACTTCTGTTTGTTTTCCCCCCTTGGTTACCTCTCTAACTTTACAGAACATGTCTACTATTTCTTGATTTATTAACTGTACATGCAGTCTGTTGACTTACTGTGATGAAAGATGAGGATATAACTCACTTTACTCCCCACTTCCAGGGATGCTTGCTTTATTGCAGTAGCTTGATTGCTCACTGTTCTCTTACCTTTATTTTTTATCATGTCTCTATTTTTTTTTTCTTTTGATACCTGGATCAAACTCAGGACCTTGCACTTGTGAGGCAGGCATGGCACCACTAAGCTAAATCATCCAGTCCTATCATGTCTCTATTTAAATCACCTTTTGTATTACATCTGCCTACTGTACCTTTTTTCTTTTGTTTCATCTTCTGTCAGATATTTATTTGATTTCATGTTGTCATGCTTAGCATTAGTACTTTCCTTAAACCAAGATTGAATATTCCATATATTCACTGTACAATAATTTTAAAGATGGGAATTAGTAAAGAAATTTTATCCCATTTTCACCTGAAAAATCCTGTTCTATCCTGAGCCCAGTGGTGGCTAGAATCACAGACCTAATGTGATGACCTCCTGGAGAATCTGAATAAGAAAGTGCCAAGGATCAAGGTCACAGAACCCTCACATTATTTATACCATCAAAGGATTAAACTAATGTATAATTGTTGTCAGTTTAATGTTTTATTAAGTATTATGCATGGGAAATTTTCTGTGTTTTTTTTTTTGAGTTTTCAAATACTTCTATTGCTTTGGGTCTTTGTGAAAAAAAATAATGACATGTCTTCAGTCCCCAATTTTAAAGACTCTCGCCTACTCAATTAAATTAGAATTTCTGTGGGTGAACTCTTGCATAAGTTTACTTCATATCAAAGTGTTCACAAGTAAAGACAAAATTAAACCAGATCTGCTTGAGACAGGGAGGAAAACCAATGAAGATACAAAGTCCATGTAAGATGCACCATTTCCAGATGTAGGAATGAGGAGACCAATGAACTGGATCCTGGGAAACCACAGGTGAATGAATAGCATCCATCCAGACGAGTTAGAGCTCTACCTGCAGTGATACTGATAGAGCATGCAATTCAGACAGGTTTGACATAACCTATCTGCTTATTTCCATCTTTCTTTACAAGAGGATAAAAAGGAAGTTTCCTGGTCCTTGTTCAGAGGTTCACAATACTTTAAATTAAGTTCTTCATAACCAAACCTCAATAGTGTTTAGTCTACAGAAACTAAGAACTCAGAGTACTCCATTTTGACTCAGTGCTATCACAAGTGATTCTTGAATTTTTTCTGAACCTATTTTGATAAGAAAATTCTTCAAAGCTAAATCTATACCTCCAGTTCCCTATAAGCTAATGGGTTTCTTTTCTGAACCCAATTAAATCCTGTGGCTGCGGTAGAGACTTTCCATAGTTTTGATCTAAATATCACTGTCTATTTTGTAAATGATTCCCAGGCTGACATGAAACAGAATGGTTAATGTATTTTTGATGAATATTAAAAATTTATGAACAAAATAAAAAGTATGATTAATGTTCAAAGGAGCCTGATTTTGGTTTCCTTGCCTTAATGTTATTGTGTCTCTGATCCTTTCTTCCTTACTTTATAAAGAACATCATAAAACTTCCATGTCTTTCTACATTATGGAAAGTCAATTTGAAAAGAATGCCTTTACGTCCATAACCTGTCAGGGGTAAATTGAGTAGAAAATTATGCATAGCCTGGTGAAACCAAATGTTAGTATGGAAATTCTCATTAAATGCCCTAAGAAGCTACAGATGTTTGAGTCAATTCTACTGATTGCTTTGGCCTGACCTCTTTTTACTGCCCCCTTTACACAGTGTGCTGAAATTCTTCAGCAGCTCTCACCCCATGCTATCAGTTTCAGACCAGGAGGATTTTTCAGAAGCATTGGCTATGGCATTAACTCATTTTCTCTTCTCCTTTCCCTCTCCTGTTCCCTACCTGCCCATCACAGCTCTCTGTGCAACTCTGTGAGCAGGGAAATGCAGCAAGGTTTGCCTTCAATAATTAGGTTTTTCCATTCTGGTCACTCATGCAGCTCATTTTAAATAAAGTGAGTCAGCTTATACCTATTAACTACATGTACTTGAACTAAGATAATATGGATTTTCAGGTATCACTCAAAAATGGAATTATGAGGGTGAAATTTTTGCTAAATGCTCCATATATTTAAAAATAGAATCATACACGACTAGATCTGGGGCCAAGAACTTCTATTACTCATAATAAAGTGGTATATTAACTATAAACAGCATAGTATGACCTTGGAGAAAACACTGAGAAAGTTAGAAAATTTGAGCCTAGTTTTCAATGGGATGCTACTTTTATGAAATAAATGGCACCTCATAAATGAAATTCCATGAACAATTTTGAAGATCACAAACAGTATCAATCCTGGTGGCTGAGGATGCCTTCTTCCTTCCCAGGACACCTCTGATCATAGGAATGCAGCCTTAACTGAACTGGGAAGCCCGCTGAATCAGTTAGCCTCATTCATCTAAGGGGTTTACTCAAGTAAGGAATAACATAAAGCTTACTTCATTAAGGAAGGGCTTACATTTGGTGGAGGAAGCTTTCCTGAGGTTTCCTTCTCTAGTGATGGATTTGTTCCAGGATTTCCTACCTTATGACTTTAGATGCAGGTTACGTCTTCATTTAGATTCAGATTTCGCTTTTACTATTACTGTGGCTCCGCAATATTTCAAGTTCCCCTCCTCGTCTGAACACTTGATATGGTTTCATTTTCCTGTCTCCTTCAAGTTTAGCGTGACATGTGACTTGTTGGCCAATGAGATGTATGTGGATATGCCAGGCCTGACTTCCAGGCTGCAGCATCTAATTGCTGATACTTGATTCTTAAATTCTCTCCTTGCCTTCATTCATGACTATGGAGGGGCTATGGGATTGATAGAGCATGAAAACAGAGCTGTCCTGACTCATGACTGATAGAAAATGTATGAGAAATAACTTTATGTTTTGCTATATCTGAAAATTATCCCTACTAAAATGAGCTTCATCTTCAAAGAAGCCCTTTAGAGTCACTGTTTCTTTGTTTCCAGAGCACCTGTCATAATTATTCTTGGTGGAAGCTCTGAGCCACTTTTTGATCTGGACAGACACTTGGAGTGTTGTGAGCTGGAGGGTCCAGATGTTGACCTGCCAGGAGCAGACAAGTATATGCTTCATGAGTTTCTCTAATTAATGGGAAAGAGTTGTACAATAAAATCAAATTTGGGCTTAACATAAGGTTCTCTTGGGATCTTTTCTTGTGATTGAAAGGAAAAAATGTATCATTAATTGGCATTTATTAATTGCTCTTGACTACTCATAATAGATCACTTCTATACTAATGCATGCTTGGAGGAATAACCTTGGTATAAGTAATTGAGTCAATAAAGCTTGTGTATGTTATCATTTTCTGAAATATGGCTCTCCTCTTAGAAATCTTATGTCTCTAAAAAGTGAATTCCAAGTCCTTTTTCTGTAAGCTCAAATGAACACCATCTCCGCATAAGAGGTGAAATTGTCCCCCTCTGCTGTGGGTCATGGCTTAATTCTTTCCTATGAAATTACCTAAGTTCACTCTGGAGTGAATAAATTTTATAATTCCTATATTTTTAATTTCTTGAAAAGCAGGAATATATTTAATAAGTATGCCTTGTTATAATAAACATGAACATTGAGTATCCAAGAAGTTGTCTTCCCAGAAAGTCTTTCATATGGAAAAGTATGGGAAAAGGATATCTATTTGGTTAGGATTTCAAAGTGCTTTATAAATTCTTTAGTAGAATATAGAATTTTCAAAATGTAGTAACAGCATATCATTCTATCCTCTCCCAGAGAAGTTCTAATATGTTATTTTCTGGTAGGAGAGAACTCCTTATTTCCCTTGGAAGTGGACTCAGTTGCCTAAATGCTCTTTAATTAAATAGCTGTTGGGTTAAGAAGGAGGAAGTATATAAAGCTGAAATATTTTGTTAGTGCATAATGAAGACTAAAGGAGTAGATGATCTCAAATGAAGTTTCCATTAACTCTTATTTTTGCTAGTAAATTGGAAGATGTGTGAGCAAGAGGGCTTCTTACTTTTTCAAGGTCCACATAAATTGGAGGAAGCACACTCATTACTTCTTTGTTTTTTTCTCCTTTTTTTTTTTTGGCTTGAGCTCCTTTGGAATGATTGAAATCCCCCTTAAATTGTACTCTATTTTAAAATGACCACTGAGACCCTGAGTCTATTCTATTAGTGATGTTCTCCTGACATTACTTCTCACCAGGGTGTGTTGTTCTTTCCACATCCCTCCTGATACATCTATCCTACTAAATTATTTTCCCTGAGACTATTAGACCTGCAAATTTCTTCACTAAAGTGAGAAGTTATATCGAGGTTGCTGGCCTCTCCTTAGTCTATGGAAGATGCTTGTGCCTCATAATTATTAGGTAAAAGGAGTTGAGTATAATACATTTTATATGCTTCATTTTTTATTTACTAGCAATCTGGAAATAATTTAAAGATTTCCTAATGTAAATGGCATGCTCTTTTTCATTTTATTTTCTGTTAATTCGCAAGAGAGAATAGAGATAGAAAGAAGCAGCATCAAGATATTCCATGAAGTTCCCATATATCACTCCTTAATCACTCTTTCTGGTCCTACTTCAAACCAAAGGCAGTGAGAGAGATGAGAAAAAGGAAAAAAGAGATGGTGCTCCTCCCCTGGGATCCAGCCAGCTTCAGACAATCTTCTCCATTCTAATGGGCAGCTACCTCCCGATAAAATAAAATAATAGTGAAGTCTTCCTACAGTTTCCTTGAGAGGAAACAGAGTAACTTGGAAATACAGTTTACACATCTAAGAAGGGCACATCTTAGACACACTTGACACTTGTGAAATCACTGCACTCCCCCAAAAAACCCCAGAAAATTAAAAGACAATTATAAAATCTCAGAATCCTCCAGGTCACCCTTGGCCATATGCCTAAAGAGAAATTAGAGTCATTCATAGGAAAATGGATACATATTGAGGATATATTCCTAAGTGAAATAAATAAGCCACACATGTATAAATACCGAATAGTTTGTCTGGTGTGAAAAACTATAATGGTATATAAGATCCTAATGATATAGTTGACAATGTGAAATAAGAAGAAAAGGGCTAAAGGTGTAGGGGAAGTGGGAAGGGTAGGGGAAAGGTATAAGGGAAAAGAAAAAAAAACATGAGAAAATGAAAAAATGGAAATAAAGTATTTGTAAATAGGGAAGGGAGGAGGGGATGAAGAGAGGGCAGGGATAAGGGGAAAAAATGAGAATCAAGACCTGTCATGTAAAGGTACAAGATCCCAATGATGAATGTAACTGTGCTGTACACCTAAAATGTACCAAAGTACACCTAATGTACCAATAAACTCAATGAGAAAAAAGAGAGAGAGGGGGAAAAGAGATTTTAGGAGAGGCCAAATCAAGAGAAAATAGAAGCTAGGATGTTACATGTTCTCTTTGCCTACTCTGATGCAGGTGCTTTAATGGTTTAGCTTGTTGAGTCCTCCCAGCTCTTTCACCATGTGGTGGGTGTCTTTCCATTTCCCAGCAGAGGGCACTAAGACTGATGGAAGAAACACATCTGATCCCAAGTGCAACTCAAAGACAAGTCTGACTGATTACAAAGTTCTACTTTTCCCAGCATGGTAGCCAACAACCTAAGTGGATTTAAGGAGGCATTGGATGACATGAGAAGGTGGAAAACAAAGGTTCCGGAACTCACCAGTTCACAGCTTCTCTGGCAATAGTCTCACCTCCCTCTTGGACCTTTCTCCAGCTCATGAGTGAAGCCAAGTCTTCAGTGGTTCCCAGGAAAACAGTGGAGGTGAGTGAGAGTAGATGTGGTGGGAAGAGCTCTGTACCTGCCCTGCAGCAGGTCAGTGTGGGGAGAGAAATAAAGGACAATTGTGTCCTTTGGAAGAGAAAAATCATTTACAAATGACCCCATTTAATGGCCTAGCATGACAAAGAGAAACAAGCAGTCTAGGTATCAGGCAGCTCTGCCACTGCCTAACTGTGAGATGCTGCATATCTGAAATGGGATGACCATATTTTGTTTGTACAGATGCTCTTATTTAGCTATTATTTATTCATTTTGGTTACTCATTTCAAAGATCTTTTTAATAATAAAACAATTTTTTGGAACTCAAAAAGGTTTTAGCTTTGTTAGGTTTGGGTTATATTTCTTGATACTAAACATAATAGAAGCTGAGTAAAAATTTACTAAAATTATAATATAGGCATTATATGTTAACACAAATAGCACATATTTCTTTGGAAACAATAACTATGCATTCCAAACAAATATAATTAGACAAATAGCATTGTTTTACAATTTCATACAAATCAGCCAGATTACCTCATCTGCCTCTGCATTTAGTTTCTGGTGATATTTAGCATTTTGATCCAAATGTATAAAGAAAATCTAGCTTCACACAGATTTGAAGTTGGGAAAGAGGACTTCTTAGAGACCCCACAGAGATCCAGGACCAGAATTTGAGAAAAGCAGCTGTAACGATTGAAAAGAATGAATGCGTGGAAAGGTTTTACCATAGCACCAAGACACACAAAGTAAGCACTCACTAAACTGTACAAGAAAATTTTATCTGCAAATTCCAGGGTATCTACACACTCAAGTGTGAGAACTGTGTTCGCACAATATGCAGTATATGTAGCACAGTGAGAGCAGTACTTGCCAAAGGAAGGAATGGGAACACATATTCCTGTTGAGCATTTGTTTACAAAAAGAAAAGTTTGAATGCCCTTGACCTTACTTAAGTCAGAACACTGACAGCACTTTGCTGTTATAATAACTGTACAGTAACTAATGAAACAATACCAAAGAACTAAAATTCTCGGTGTGAAAGCACAGAACATAAATGAGATTCATGCACATGCTTTGATCCTAGGGAACCTACTTAACTAAATATTATCCTTTGGAATCTTCTAATCCTTGCAAAAATAGTTTAACATCATAGGGCTGGAAGCCCAAATATAAGAATTAATGGAATATTAATGTTAGAATTTTAGAATTATTAATATTAGCATATTAGAAATATTAGAACTAACAAGCAAATGTAAATAAGGACCAAAAGGTATAACAGATAATTTGAAATAGGAAGAAAAGGTGCAAAGCAGAAGGGGAAATGGGAGGGGTAGGAGAAAAGAAATATGGGAATGGAATTAACATGAGAAAAAGAAAAAATGGAAACAAGGTCTTTGTAGACAGTGAGGGGTAGAGAGGTTGAAGGGAGGGCAGGGGAATGGGGAAAAAATAAGAACCAAGACGGATTATGTAAAGGTGCAAGTTTCCAATGATGAATGTCACTACATTGTATACCTCAAATATACCGATAAATTAATTAATAAAGAAACACAAAATCAAGCAAATGTAAAGATAAGTCCTTCTGTAAAGGTCCTTTTGGTGCTACATAAACTTCTATTGAGTTAATATTAGTTTTTTAAAAAATTTTTTTAATGGTTAGTAATTCAAAACAATTGAATTTTTAATAATGATTATATGCATTGTAGCTATTCAATAACATTGTTTATTTTTAAATTAGAACTTCAATTCCTTTTTTTTTCTTTTTATTGAGTTTATTGGTCCAATCTAGGTATACAGTACAGTTACATTCATTACTGGGATCCTGTACCTTTACGTGACAGGTCTTGGTTCTCATTTTTTCCCCTTGTCCCTGCCCTCCCTTCACCCCCTCCTCCCCTCCCCATTTACAAACACTTTATTTCCATTTTTTCATTTTCTCACATTTTTTTCTTTTCCCCTACCCTTCCCACTTTCCTTACACCTTTAGCCCTTTTCTTCCTATTTCACATTATTAATTGTGCCAGGAGGATGAGATCCGAGAAAGCGGCTGGCTTGGACGTCAGATCTCCCTCCACCGGCCGGTCTACGGGTCAGGTAGCTGCGCCTTTTGCTGCCGGCGCCATTGCTGCTGATCTACCCCGCTCCACCCCCGCTCTCAGATCCTCTGATTGTGCCAGTCTTTGGATGCACTCTGCAGAGGCATAGCTGGCTATAAAGAGTGGTGACTGATCCTATTGTGTTCCTGATTGTATCGATTGGGATGAAGGATAGGGATTGATTTGACGAGTTGTTTTCTCTATTATGAAAATGGGAATGTCTATGAGTCATTAAAGAATCAAAGGCTGGGATGCAAGGATATCCTTTTCTAACAATAGCTTTATTTGGGATATAATTAACACACCATAAAATTTTCCTTCTTAAAGTAAATATTTCATTTGTTTTAGAAAATTCAAGGTTGTGAATTTAACACAGTCTAACTTTTCTCACAGTTTATTTTTTCAATCACTTCTTGGCCTTTTGGCTAAGATCAAGTGTAATACAATTTATTTTTCAAAACAGCAAAGCATAGTATTGGGTTGCATAGTTTTTGGTCTTGATTTTAGAGTACATATATTCCTGGGCTCACTTTATGAATGATAGGAAATTCACAGCAGGAAGAGTTTCATTTTCCAATGATTTATGTTAAGTAAAGTTTCCAAAGATTTATGTTAAGATTCTTTTGCCACTAAATTGATGGTGATATCAAGCTTAATATATCGATAAAATTTTATTTGGAGCTTAAGAGCTGTGAAGCTTATTTTTAATAACATGGTAATTGAGTTAAAATTAAGTTAATTAAAAACTCTTCTTTGAGGCAAGCATATTTAAAAATGATGAACAGCGGGGCAGAACTTCATTAGGTTAAAGAAAAGCTTAATTTATTTTTTCTATTTTATATGTCATGGTTTTTCAAATAACTTCATTGCCTTAAACTCTTTAGGGAAAGTCTTATTTTGCTTTGTCTGTGCATTTACATGTAGTCCAGTTTGCATTAAATTTGTCTATAATTTGTCCATTCAAAGTTAGGAGCATTATTTTTAAATGCCCATTAAATGGACTTTATGAGCCATCTGGAGATAAGCAGAATGTGGGTAAATATGAGATCTCAGTAATATATACAAGAAGCTTTGCTAAGTGGTGGGTCCTTACTTAAACTGTGGCAGAGTATTCTTCCCCTTTACACAGCAGTGGCTACAGAAAGTTTCTAAAAACTGCTCATAGAGTCTTGTGTTGCCTGTTTTACTCAAGGAGTACATGAGTGTCTCCTCAACTTCCCTCTTCTGCTATTATTGCTCTGAAAGGGACCCCTAGACCCATAGTCCAACTCCACCATTGACATGGCTCTGTCCCTAGATGCTTACATCCCATTTTTAATGAAGTACTTCAGGAAATCATCTTTTCCTCTTGGGTTCAATTCAGCTTGGGCTTAAGTATTTCCTAGGCTTAGGAAGTCATTCTTTTATCTAGAGCCACTTCCTCCCTGGATTTCATGCAGGCCACATTGACTGTGAAACCCACCAACTCTACAGTTGGCACAGTTGGGTTTAGTTGACCACATTACATCTTTGTTAATGTAAGTTTACTGGGAGCCTCACAATTCCATCTGCCTGCGAGACATTGTTGTACCTTCGTTGCACTCACCATCGCTACCTGAACCCAATATCCTATATCCCAGTCTGCTGACCTAGCTCACCCTACACCCAGTAGCCACAGACCCTGGTGTGGATGCTGCAGAAGAAGAGCCACATGGTCTGCATGCCATACAGTAACCCCCTGGAAGTATTTTGCACAAATATATTTAGTATATACCCTAAGGAACCCAAATTCAGCTCAGTCTGAACCACTGACAGAAACTAGAAGAGTTTAAGTAATATGCACCAAGACCATCTAACTATAACCAAGATGATTTGGTGGAATGTCTGTTGCAGAGAAAGACATCTGTATATCCTTGTCCTGTTCTACCACCTCAATATTGGTTGGCATTTGACATAATCCCTGAGTTGGCAAATGAGTTATCTGCTTGCACCAGGGAGATCTAGCTCTGCAGAGGAACTTGGGTTTGTGCCATCTCATTAAATATGTTTGAGGTACCTAAAAGTATTTTAATATGAACTGTATTGTGGGATATGGGATCCTGCCAATTTGATAATTGAATGGTGAAATTGATATTTATTTTAACAAAATTAGATCCCTTTTCAACAAGTATATTCTTTCCTATTATGAGACAAGCATTGCATTATGAGACAAACTTCGGTAGTTTACTGTCACCCTACTCTTTCCTGATTTGGGCCTCCAGTTGGTGTCCTGGCTTCCCACATATCATTATTACCAATGGGAAATGTAAAGCTGTCACTATCGTGTCACACCCAAGTTCTATCTCCTAGTTGTACTCAACCTGAAGGAATGCACAACTCTCTGATTATCTGACCCTTGTTATCAGAATGAGCAGAAGCAACAACAAGAAAAGGGAAGATGCATAGAAAAAAAAAGTGAAAGGAAGATACCTTTCCAAGAATGATATGTCACAATTTTCAAAGGCTTATTTACAAATCTAATTTATTTTTGTAATATTGGTTCTTACTTTTAAGCAATAATATATGAAAGGTATCTGAGCATATACTTCCCTTTGTTGATGCCCCCAGACACCTCTAACCATATTTCTTTTGTCAAGTAGACATTTGAGAGTTAAACACTGTCCTGAGTACAGGGGATCTCATTGTGAACAATAAAGATAAGTTATACTTCCTGGAGTCAAAGACAAATGAGATACACATAATTTAATAAATTCAGGAGGAAAACCTCAGGTTGGTTGGCATGTCATGAGGTTTAGAAACCTTTAAAACAATTTTCCAGAGAATAGTCTCAAGTTGAACCTATAAATTCAGCAGGCAACATGTGCAGAATAGGAAGAAACTTCGTATACTGCAGGAAAAGAAATAGAAAAAACTTCAGGAGGCAGAGTCCAAGGTGTAGTCTAAGGGAAAATTTTTTACCATTTCCATGATATTTAACCTGCCTTTTCCTACCTTTCCTCTCCTATGGGGCTGAGCGGGTGCTGCTTAATGCTGGGGTGAGTGGTACCAGTGGAGGATGCTGCTGAAGCCTAGAGATGAGATACATAAAGGTTCGCCACATTGCACACCCACTTTTTAACTGGAAATTAATCTGAAAAAGGTTCCCTCAGAAAAATATAAAACTTGGAAATGGGTTTCCTGTTTCTAATCATAAATTGCTTTCTACCCTGACAGCTAGGTAAAAGGCAATTTTCCGATGCATTTGTAAATGGAATGGCACCACCTTGACACAATCCTCTTTTATTCACCACCTACTTCCATTTCTCTGGGATACTAATAGATTTTCCCCTCCCACAGACAATAGATGAGAAGTAATTACCTAGAACTTTTTTTATTCTTCATGTATTTTTCTTCCCTATAAAACATTCTCCAGGGATAGTCTGAAGCCAGCTCATTTCATACGTATTTTATCCTGGTTATGTTCTGCATTATTAACAGTTTGTTCCAACTAAGGTGCTGAAAGTCAGTTTTCAACCAAAGCAATAAGCAAAAACATTGTCAATTAAGGAAATGCTTAAAGCCACGTTTCAACTGATCTTAGTGATACATTAGTCATTGCAGTGGGTTGGATGGTGCCCCTTCCTAAAAGATATGTCCCTGTTGGCATCCTCAGAACCTATGTGTCTATGAAATTATTCAAAAAGAAAGGTCCATTGAATGTAATTTAGTGAAGGATCTCAATGGAAAATCATCTTATTCACATGCCCCTAAACCCCATGACAAGTGTCCCTAGAAGAGACACAAAGCCAAGAAGAGGAGACAATATAATTTAGGAGGCAAAAGTTGGAATAATAAAACTACAAGTTCAGGAACGATACAGTTACTATAAGTTAGAAAAGTCAAGAAGACTGTCCCCTAGAACCTATGCCAACAAAGTGATTCTGGACCACTGGCCTCCAGAACTGTGAAAGAATACATTTCTGGTGTTTTAAGCTATGGAGTTTGAGGTTATTTGTTAAATCAACTCTAGGAAACTGAGAGTAATCATAGGTTGTGAACATCATTAAGCCAGAGCCTAAATAATACCCAGAAGTGTATGTTCTGCACAATGAAAGGACTGAATGAGTGTGACTTTTAGAATGTTTAATCATTGCAAAGATGCTGTGTGGATTAGCCCTTGTGCCCTGCAGAAAAGAAAACAACCTGCCAACTCCCTTGCGTTAGAACTCCCATAAATTTGTTTGCATTACTAGAGAACAGTGGGGGCCAACTGCAGGAAGCAGTTTTTTATTTCTCTAAAGACTGATGTAAGGCAGTTGTTTTGTGGTAATTCAGCTTTAGATTTGCCAGAGAAAAGATTCCCTCCCATCCCTTGGTAATAAAATAGGGTTGCTGGGAAGATGCAAAAACACTAAAAGAAACATTCATCAAGGTGTAGATGCTCTTTCATGAAAACAAAATATGCTGAGCCAGCGACACTGAGTCGGAAGATGCTGTTTGATTTTGCTCTCCCTTCATTCTGTGTCATGTCTAAGATGGGAAACATCCCCAGTTAAAGGCAGATCCCACCTATACTATAAAGAGTCACAGGCAATAAAACAAGAGTTCCCACTCTTTCTGTCATTCCTCTGCTGCACAATCCAGTTCTGCTACAAACTCTTATAGAACCTCAAGACTTCTCTGAGGTTTAGGAATGTATGAGTTGTATGAGTCAGACAGATGGCACCACTCACAAGGTACTTCTGGACATGTGGAATCCAGTCATCTCCTGTCTATTGGTCAGGTTCTGGTGAGGGCAGCAGGAAAATAAGATGTTTCTGAATAAGGTCCAGGAAAGCACCCATTAATGTGATTTATTTCAAATTCTTGTTATTGTCCATTCATTTTGAATCCATAGATGAGGACTGGCACAGTGGAATAATTTGTCATACACTGATGTTTTTTGTTGTTGTTGTTGTTTAATGGCAAGAGATTCATCTAAAAGCTAGTGGAACTCAACTGTCTAGCCAGCAGAATTACAGGAAAATATTTCAGAATTGAATGCAAGTGTTACAGTCTGAGCAGTGCAGGAAGCCTAAAAATTTTGGAAAGGCATACTCGCAATAAAGTTGGTTTTTAAAAGCCATTAATGAGCTAGGGATGTAGCTCAGTGGTACAGCACATGCTTACCATAATTGAGATTCTGTGCTCAATCCCCATCATCTCAACAAAACCTATAGAGTCAAAACAACCAAAAAGCACCAAAGAATTCATATGATCTCTAACTGTGAATGACTACTAGAACATTTTCCTAGGAATGTGGCTGTATAGTGTAGATTTCCACCTCCCTCATGGTACAACATATTAGAAAATAGTATGAATACTTTCTTGAAAAGGTAGAAAAAGAAAAGAGGAGTCACTAAGGAGTACCTAGTTAATCCTCTCAAAAATCGAACATGTGATAATGTACATTTTAAGGTGAGGAAGATGTCATATGGTGGTTTGCAAAGTGGAAGCAATCTGGACTGGAATTCAGACAACCTGAGCTTAAGCCTCTCTTGTTCTTACCCTCCTTCCTGCTATGCGTTTGGGGCCAGTGTGTTAACAATCTCTGTGAACCTCAGATTCATCCACATGTCTGTGCAAGAATCTTAAGGTGGTGGGAAAATCAAAGCAGCGTATTCACAACACCTGGAGCAATGCTCCAGTGTACCCTTGTCTCTTTGCTGTTCTTCGCTGCCATGGTCCACACTCCTGAAGCAGAGAAATAAATGTTACATCAGATTCTGATGGATTATCTTAAATTCCGACTTGTTCCAGATGTGGTGAGTGGGAACTTCTGATTAAAAGGCAAAGTGTGCTAAATAAGGAGCTCTGATTATGCAGACAGATCCAGCAGACTGTCTCATTTTGGACTTACCATAGATCTGATGGTCATCCATACACTCTAACTTGGAGATCTTGAAAGTGTTTTGTGTGGAAAACAACTTTCCGAAAGATTTTAAAGTTCTATTTATAATTATTGCTTTCACGTTTTGAATTGGATTGTGAGTGAATTACAATAAACCCTAACATAAAATCACAAGCTAAAAAAGGAAAGGAATTGTCAACAGAAGACAAAGCACATACGTAGCAGCCTTCTTGGTTGATGTGTTAATCATGGTTGAACATTAATTTATCTCTAAGCTTCCTAGCAGCCAGGGGAAGAATGGAAACAGCAGAATATATAATTTTCACTGACTAACACAACACATGCAGTCTTTCTGAAAATTAAATTCTAAGATTCAAAGGTGTGGACATAAAGAAATAATCAATTCACAAGTTGCATTGAAAAATGTGCTTTATCTCTTTGTTTCACAGGTATGGTGTTGAACTCTGCTAGCAATGCTGGAAGTCAAGCAGAACAATACACACCTGTCAGAGAGGATATGACCTTTAGGGTGTGTGACCCAGGAGGAAACCTGGCAAGATACAGAGGTATTTACCTGAAAATAGAAATGAATATGCATAGTATCAGCACATGAGATAAACCTAAATAAGTGGAGAAAAAAAAACAAGCAAAACATTTGATGAGCTTGGCTTCTATTTCAAAAAACTTTGTGATCATGAACAGTAATGAAAGTGCAGAGGTTGAGATAAAGCCCAGAGTAGGTCCTAACTCTATGCCTAAATTTAGGATGCCAGAGTTGGTTTTTATGACAAAATAAAGAGAGAGAAGACACTGGTTAAATTTTGGTGGGTGTAAGAAATATTAACTACAATTACAGTGAGTGATAGATCTGAGCTCAAACAGAAAGGATTTTGTTTTTCTTGATGATTAAAGAGAGTAAGCACCATCACTCTGGCCTTGGACAGCACACAGAGAAGGCCAGGATAAGCCTGGGTGAGGGTTCAGTCCATATGCTAAGACTGCTTCTGTAACATAAAGCATTGCACTTTAGATTAGAAATACTACCTTAAAAAGAATCTAGAAGACTCACAAGATGTTCAGATATTTACAATAAAAATCACATATATGTACTAGTTCTGGAAGCAAAGTCATTGATTAATATCACTTCTTCACTGTCCCATTGAGCAGAAATGATGAAAAGCCAACCTCATGCAAAAAGCACAGGGTGCAACCATCTGCTCTGGCAGGCCTACTGGTCAGTTTTCTCTCAATACTTTCATATCCAATGAAGTGTGAGGAAAAATGAAACAAACCACTCACCTACTATGATATGCCTTTCCTTCTGATGTGTGTGAATGGCTGAAATTATCCCTAATTAGCCAGCCCCTTTTTGAGGTGATTTCTAGCCTCACAGTTTATTAGAATCATCAGAAAACTTTTAGACTGCATCTTTCCAGCTCCATTCTGTTCTCTAGGGTGGGATCTTGCTTTAAGGGTTCAACTAGTAAACCAAGGAATTGGTGAGGCTCATTAATGAAAAATGTAGCTTACATAAATGCATGTTGCCTCAAGACTAAGAGTCTGTTTCCCACCCCACAAGTTGGGACTTGCCTTAGGATTTGTTTTGTTTTTTAACAACCTTTCATTAGTGTATGGACCTAATGACTGCATTCATCATGGAGAGTTGGTACATGTATGTAATACTTCTAATTCTTTTTAATTCTCCTTTTCCTCTCTTTCCTCTTCCCTTCTTCTCTTGGTCCCGCACTCATTTGCAAAAGATCTGTCTTCCTTTTCCATCTTTTATTTTACTCTTCAAATTATTATCTGAGAAACTTTGGGATTTTCATAAAAGAGAAACTTTGTAATATTTAAGGCTGTGTGTCTGATTTGTTTCAGTTAGTATTATGGTCTCAACGTGGGTCCATTTGCCTACAAATAGCTCACATTCATCCTTCTTTATAGCAGAGTAGTACTCCATTGCATAAATACACTGCACTTTCTGTATCCGTTGATCTGTTGATGGACATATAGGCAGCTTCCAATATTTAGCTATTATGAATTGTGCTGCTATAAACATGGATATGTAAGTATCACTGTAATAGATTTTAATTCTTTTGGGAAGATACTTATTGGGTGGAATGGAACTTCTATTTTGAGACGTTTGAGCAATCACCAACAATGCAAAAATGTTCCTTTTCCCCTGCAGCCTTGCCAGCATTTGTTATAGGTTGATTTCTTTATGAAAGTCATTCTTTCTGGTGTAAGATGGAATCTCAGTGTTTTAATTTTCATTTCTCAAATCATCAGAGATGTTGAACATTTTTCATGTATTTATTGAACTTTTCTATTTCTTCTTCTGAGAAGCGCCTATTCACTTCTGTTGTCCATTTTTGAATGGGTTTTTAATTTTGGAGGGTCTAATTTTTTTTGAGTTTCTTATATATTCTAGATGTTAGTCCTATGTGGAATAGCTGGCAAATTTTTCTTTGAATTCTGTAGCTTGTCTCTTCTTTCTGCTGTTTATTTATTTTGCTGTGCAAAAGCTTTTCAATACGATATAATCTCATTTGTTGACTCTTGGAGTTATTTCATATGCAGTTGAGGTTTTGTTTGGAAACTCCCTTCCTATGCCTATAACTTCAAGAGCTACTTTACCTTGCAGCAGACTCAGTGTTTCTATTTTAATATGTAGGTCTTTGAACTGCTTTTTAATTTTATTTTAGTTTGCAGTGAGATATGGTTCATTTTGGCCAATAGAGTATGGTAGACCTACCTTCATAAGCTTGGGATTCTCCATGCCTGGGCTGGAGTACTTACTGAATGATGCCAGTCGCACATGATGAGAAAGTAGGCAGCACCAGCCTCCAGATATGTGAGTGAGGGCATCCTGGGCCATTCAGCCTCAGTTGGACCTCCAGATGGCTCCATCATCTGAGGAAGTTCAGCTGACACTCTCAGAGCAAAAGCAAGCTTTTCTGTGTGAGCCTAATAAAATTATTGACTTACAGAATGATGACAAGGAACACATGGTTGTTGTTTTAGCCATTATATTTTGGGATAATTTCTTATGCATAAATAAATACTAAAATAGAAAAAAGCAAATTTCTTAATGCAGGACTGTTAGATGAGTCTGTGGCAGTCAGCCTGCAAATTGGTCTTCAGGGATTCCCACCTCTAGCATTAATGCTCTATATTCTCCTTCCACACTTGGCCAGGGTTGGTCTGCATGTCCAATAGAATGTAATAAAGTTATGACTCTTCAATGATCAACTCATCAATTATGAACTCATTGCCTATGAGACTTATCAATTATTAACTCAGTGGTTTAAAATATTCATAATCATTTCTGCACCTCAAAGAATAGCAGTACTTTCTTAATACTAGCTAATATACAGAGTTAAATTTTCCTTCATTGCTTAGTTTTTTAAATGCTTGCTTTTTCAAATAGAGATCCAGAATTGGGCCTAAAATCTTTTTCAATGAGCAGGTCTGCTGACATCCCTTTGCTTCTTTGATAATTCTGTCCTGAAGAAGCTTCGAGTCTGGCTTGTGGAGTTCTTTGGAGCATCTTTTTTCCAGCTTTAATTGAGTTTATTGGTACATTTTAGGGTTACAGTACAGTTACATTCATTGTTGGGATCTTGTACCTCTCCATGACAGGTCTTGGTTCTCACTTTTTCCCCTTGTCCCTGCCCTCCCTTCACCCCCTCTTCCCCTCCCCATCTACAAGGTCTTTATTTCCATCTTTTCATTATCTCACATTTTTTCTTTTCCCTTATTACCCTTCCACTACCCATACCACCTTCTCTGCACCTTCAGCTCCTTTCTTCCCATTTCTCAATGTCAGTAATCTTATTAGGATCTTCTGTATTATTGCAGATTATTCACACCAGAGAAACTATTCGGTATTTACACATGTGTGCCTTATTTATTTCACTTAGGAGTATATCTTCAATATGTATCCATTTTCCTATGAATGAATCTATTTTCTTGTTCTTTATGGCTGAGTAATATTCCATTTTATAGAAAAAACACATCTTCTTTATCCAGTTTCCAACTGATGGGCAAATGGGCTGTTTCCAAGTTTTAGCTATTACAAACTGTGCCACTATACACATGGGTGCACATACATCACTGTGATATGATTCTTTTAGTTCTTTTGGAAAGACACCCAGCAGAGGGATGGCTGGATCAAGTGGAACCTCCAGTCCAAGCTCTTTGAGGTATCTCCATATTGATTTCCATAGTGGTTGCACCAGTTTTCACTCCCACCAACAATGGAGAAGGGTTCCTTTCTCCCCACAACTCCACCAACATTTGCTATTGTGTGATTTCTTGATAGCAGCCATTCTTTGTGGGGTGAGGTGGAATCTCAGTGTTGTTTTCATCTGCATCTCTCAAAAGACCAGTGATGTGGAACATTTTTTCATATATTTACTTGCTGCTTTTACTTCTTTGTCTGATAAATGCCTGTTCATTTCGGATGCTCATTTTTGAATTGGGTCTTTATATTTGGGGGAGCTGATTGTTTTGAGTTCTTTATATATTCTAGATAGTATACCTTTGTCTGAGGAGCAGCTGGTAAAATTTTTTCCCACATTGTAGGTTGTCTCTTAATTCTGCTGATGGTTTCTTTTGCAGTACAGAAGCTTTTTAATAAGATGAGATCCCAGTTGTTGATTCTATCTGCTAGTTCCCATGCTACTGAGGATTTGTTCATAAATTCTTTTCCTATGCCAATGTCTTCCAGAGTTCTGCCTAACAAGTTTAATGTTTCTTTTTTAATATTTAGATCTTTAATCCATTTGGATTTTAATTTAGTGCATGGTGAAAGATAAGGGTCCAGTTTTAACCTGTGGAAGGTTGAAATCCAGTTTTTCCAACACCATTTATTAAAGAGGCTACCTTTCCTCCACTGAGGATGGTCAGCTCCCTTGTCAAAGATGAGGTAGCTGAGTACATCCTGATTTGTTTTTGTGTCTTCCAGTCTGTTCCACTGATCCTCAGGCCTGTTTCTTTGCCAGTACCACGCTGTTTTTACCACAGTGGAGCATTTTGATAATTGTATTCTCATGGTATTGCTTCATATGTTCTTCTGACTTCCATAGTACTTATACAATTGTAGTTAGAACTAGGATCTTGATCAGATTAATGTTTTATATTTTGGACTTTATATCTGAGAAATCTGTACATTTCATAGATGCTTCTATCTTTCATGAAAAATCAAAAAATATAATTGTCTTGGATTTTATTGTGAGATATTGTTACCATTATTGATTTTATTTTTTATAAAAGGAAAATATTCAAATTTTATAATTTCTTCCTCATTTAGTAGAATACAGTAATTACATATGAAGTGTTCTATCACTGACTTTCTTAATATGTAATAAAACTACGAAAAATGCAAAAACTTATTGACATTTTCCTTTAGTTTACCAATTTTCCAAAGAGTAGGAACAATTTGCAAACAATTTTATATTATGTCTGTAATAAAAGCAATAAATATTTTACTGTTGTTATAAACTCACGAATTTGAATGTTTTTAATGTTTGTAATCTGTTATAATTATACCTTCTAGTGATTA